TTTCAAGGAGGACGTCAAGGTGGAGATGAACGAGATCACGCTCGTCAAATCCCTGCAGCGGGTCGTCAACATCACGGGTATCGAGCAGGGCGAGACGCTGCAGCCGCTCGCGAACCAGCAACCCATCGAGAACGACAAGAACGCCATCGGCTTCACGTCGCTCCAGCTGGACTACACGGTGCCCTTCCCCGTCTCCCTCGTCATCAGCCGCAAGACCGTGTGGCGGTACCAGGCGCTGTTCCGATACCTCTTGTCGCTGCGCTACCTCGAGTCCCAGCTCTCGACGACGTGGTACTCGCAGACCTCAGGCCTGACGTGGTCGCACAAGAGCTCCTCGCGCGGCCTCGAGATCTGGAAGCGCCGCGTGTGGACGCTGCGCGCGCGCATGCTCGTCTTTGTGCAGCAGCTGCTGTACTTTTGCACGGCCGAGGTTATTGAGCCCAACTGGGCAAAGTTCATGTCCCGGCTTAAAGTCGGCGAGGAGGGCCAGGAGGCGTCGGCGGCGGGGGGCACGACGCCTACGCGGACGGTAGACGAGTTGATGCAGGATCATGTGGATTTCTTGGATACGTGCTTGAAGGAGTGCATGCTCACCAACAGCAAGCTTCTCAGGGTACGTCTTTTCTCCTTCTCACTACCACCCTCGATGTCGTTCATAGTACAGGTCCCAGCTAACGTGCAAACCCTCGGCCAGATCCACTCCAAACTCATGCAAACCTGCACAGTCTTTGCAACCTACTCCAACTGGCTCTCCCGCGAGCTAGAAAAGGCCGACCCGGACCTCTCCGGCGCCACGCGCCCGCCCAACATGACGGCAGACCAATGGCGCGCCTTCCAAGCCGTCAGGACGCAGAAGCCCTCGTCCGGGCCGGGCGCGGGCGGCACCACCTCGCACAACGAATTGAGTTCATCGGCGGGGGCCGGTGGCGGCAGTGGCAGCGCCGCGGAGCAAGAAGCCCGCGTGAGCAACCTCTTTGAGATTATGAAGAAGTGGGAGGGCAACTTCAGCAGGCACCTGCAGATCCTGCTCGACGCGCTGAACCACTACGCCGCGACGGAGACGGTCGTCCTGCTGAGTCTCTGCGCGAGGTTGAGCACCGCGAACCAGGGGACCGAGTATGCGGGGTTGAGAAACGAGGACGATAGCGTCGCGTGAGAAGAAAACATACCCTCTGCCCCCCTAAAAAAAACGTCTTTTTTATGCTCCAAAGGAAAGAGAGAGGTTCATGGCATGGCGTATGGCTTTGCGGGCGTTTTTTTTCGCGGCGTTATAATGGAGATGGTTAGACTGGCGGGTTGTCTAGTAGCTTCAACTATTGCAAAAAGCTTGAATGAGAGAGAGAGTATGTGTGTGTGAGGCAGAAAGAGTGTGAGACCGAGACGATGAGAGAGAAAGGGCCAGCTCATTCAGAGGGGGTTGAGCTCCTCAAAACCTATGCTGAACAGATACCAATACCATAGATTAAGTAATGTGCATCTGATTGCCAAGCGCAAGTACTGACCATTGTCTGAGCTCCCACCCAGACTCCCATCGCGCATACGCTTAGTGGAGCATTTTGTGTCGTGATATTCGTACAGTGTGACATTATTCTATTCGTCTCAGTATCATTCAAGAGGAGAGATGTTTCGTCTCCCCAGGCGTGCCCTTCTTTGTCGCCATAATTTCGTTTTTGGGTATACAGATGTGATACACGATTGTTGTTGGTACAGATTGGTACAGCTTTTTAGAGCAACATGGCTCGGAACCTTAAGATCTCTTTCTCCTCTAATCCTTCTTAAGGGCCTCCTTGACGAGCTCAGCAACACGCTTCTTCTCGACCTCGAGGTCCTTGTCCCCAGTCGCCTTGTTGATGAGCTTCATGACCTCTCCAAGCCCACTCTTGCCCGCTGCGACGGAGTCCTCGATGGCCTTCTGGATGAGAACGCGGACGTCGGCCTCGGTGACGGTGACGACGCCGCTACTGGCAATGTACTCGGCCATAACCTTGGCCTGGGTGTCCTCCTTCTCAGCGAGGTCGTCGCGACCGGCGTCACGGAACTGCTTGGCGGCGTCCTGGGTGGCGCGCTGCGTCTTGCGGAGGAGGGCGACGAGCTGGGCGTCCGTCGCAATGGGGGAGTCTGTCTTGGCGGCGTTGTTGGTAGCGGAGAGGACGGAGCGGAGGACCGACAGACGGGGCGCGTCCTTTGCGCGCATGGCGGTCTTAAGGTCGGTCTTGAGAGTGGCCAGGAGCTTGGGCTGGGCCGGAGCGGCATCGGAGTAGCAACGGATCGTCGTCCGGAGGGGGTGGACGCGGCCCGGCACCATTGGCCGGAGGGCTTGGGCGAGGCGGACTGAGGTTCGGGAGGCCATTGTGGACGGAGGAAGGTCGTTCGTTTGCCTGAGCTTGGATTTTCGAGGGGGAGTGGTGGTCGTTCCTCAATTGATCGGTCTTTGTATCGTTCTGACTGTAATGGGGTAGTGGAATCGACAAGCTGTTGTTGGTCTGTCAGTTGCAGTCATGCAGAAAAAAAGTTACTGCTGGGAGCTCTCAAAATGCATAAATGTTCGGGACAGCTTCTCATTGGCTAGCAACGGCTGGTTGTTCTGGCCAGGTCCACGGCAGCAGGAACATCCCCGGATCCTCTCCTCCACAGGTGGCGCGAAGTGGCACCAGTGTCTGGGAGTAGCGTCCGTGAGGATGTATTGGCGGCGGGGGGGCGTTGAATAAAAAAGTGTTTGATATATTGGACACACTATTGGCAGTAGTTTCCTCGCATTCTACCCTTTGAGGGTGCCATCTTGGTTGAAGATTGCAGATGCCAGATTGACAGGTACATGGAGGCCTGATGGTTCGGATGACACAATCAGCCGCACACTTTATGCGTTCAGGGAATCTCGCGGATATTTCAACTTCCAAGTCATTGATGCGCGCATAACTTGGGACACGCGTTCCGTCGATGGGCGTGTTGGTGATAATTCGCGGATCAGTTGGAGCTCTTGTGAAAGAATGTGAAGACTATGCAAACCCTGAGGCCCAAATCACCTGATGTGCCGAAGATCAGGGGAGCTGCAGGAAACAAGGGTCGGGGCATCCGCGAAAGGTTCCCGATATCACATCCACCGGGTGTTCCAGGTTCGAAGTTCCAGCAGCTGCCACCTATGTCGATTTGGCCCCGGTAGACAATCTGCCAGCCAAGCTGAAGGGGGTTGTGCGTCCATCGGGTCGATTTGCATAGAAACTTTGACCGTTGCATGCTTCATCATCGCGGCAGCTTCAGTTGATGTCCCTGGCATTGTGACATTCCAGGGGCAGTGTCGGTATCCGTATCCGAACTTTGCAGCTTGCCCCAGCGGCTATCTACTCGGTCAAGAGGGAATCGTCAGTCGAAATGTCTGTGCCCCTGATCATGCTAGGGAGGAAGTTTCCGAAGCCGGGGAACTTAGATGGCGCAAGGGCTCTGAGCACTCACCGGCGTGGAACTTGGCTTGAATGCGGGCGTGGATGCTGGCGTGGAACTTGTGAGGTGCGGAGGCGGCAAATGTGGCATGGCGCCAGCAAATTATCTCATCTTCAGATGAAAGTGGATTCCGATTGCCTCTTTGTCAAGAACGTCAGAGTCAAGCCACGACTCGACAGTCCATTCCGCTCTGACATGGGTTCGATGTGCTCAGCTCTGGCGGTGTTGTAACTTGTGTATGTGCATGTGAGAGAGAGAGAGAGAGAGAGAGAGAGAGATTGTGCAGGCTCAATGTGACGTGAGTTGTTCGTCTGCAGTCCACCTCGGTCCTCACCGAGAACCCGAGGAGACGGTAGCGAGTAAAAAACCATGCAGACCTCTTGCGTTCCTGGCAAGGCCTGGCGTCTTGCCTCCCTCCATTCTAACCCAACATGGAACAGATAAAGCAACAGCAGCGGATAACATGGTAAGGTACAGAGAAGGTAGAAGAACAAGAACTCGTGCCATCCTCCCCCCTTGAGCCTTCCCGTCCGCTTCTTCCACCTTCAAGACGTCTCTTCCGAATCCATCACTGTGGGGGGATTCCTCGCCTTCCCTTGCCTTACCTTACCTTACCATACGTTCACACCACCTCAGGCAACCTGAGTCCAAAATGTACAGTACTTATCTGTGTCAAAAGTTGGTAAGTAGGTACCTTGCCGTGAACATGGGCATGGGAAGCCGCCGGCCTTGTTCCGGATTTCTTCCTTCCCACCACCATCCAATAAGGCACTTACTTACCTTAGCTTCCGCCGCTCTCCACATGCGCCTCACTCTCTTTCAACTACACGTCTATCCCCTTCGGCTTCAACATATAGACACCATCTCCTCAAAGCATGTCCTCTTCAATGTCTGTCTTGTATGAAGAACTTCTTATCCCGAAACAGGGATAACAACATCCTCAGTGATCATCAGCACCCATTTCCGTTCTCTACTCACTCTGTTTGCAAGTGTCGTTCGGTCATCGACAACTAGTCTTCCCTTGACACTTGCGTCTCTTTTCGATAACAACAAGCAGTCGGCAATCCAGTCAAGTCCACGTTCTTTCCAAAGCGACAAAAAGCTTGCTCGCCGTACATCACTTGTCTGATGCCACACCGTCGATGACTGCCTTTTGAAAATCAGCAACGATACGAGTACGGAAAGGGCAGCTTTAACTGGGCTCTCACAACTCCGTCATACAATCGCCAACGCCGAAGATCGTACAGCAAAAAAGCACTGCAGTAGCGAATTAATCAAATAGGATTGCGAGCTAGACAAGGGGTATTTGCTGTCGTCACATCGTCACCATCGTAATCCAGGTCCAAAAGAAAAGGCCCATCAAGTCCTGGCTGGGAAACAACGCTCTACGCCACCATACAAAACTCGCTCTGAAAAGCAGCATCGTCATATGGCCCTCATCTGCTCGTCTCAACGACGAGCCTTTCGTCCTATACAAACGTACCTTGAGGGCCCATATGTCAGTACTCGAAAGAAATTGGGCGGCTGGACAAGTTGGGAGTTACTTACATTGGAAAATACGCCTAGGAAGAGCCGCCGAGAGTGGCTCGAATGTTAGTAGGCATTCCCACTCGAAAAAAAGATGATTGTTTTGGGGGCAGGGAACTCACCCTGAACGCCGGGTTATCAGCCTCGCTCCTTGCTTGAGCTACCAACACTTGGAACTCTTGAGACGTCATTCTGCAGTGCCACAGTCAGTTCACATCGATCCGAACTCGGCGTTAAAGGCTGCAAACAATGGGAAAAGGGAGACTCCCTTACCCTCGGAACTCTGTCATGGGGTACATCGCCAGTGACGCAAGCATCCTCCTCACATTTTCTCTGTTAGCCACACCGATTTGGTGCTGCCTCGGGTCTAGTCGAAAATCAGGTCAAAGTTTCTGCACTTCGGTTTCGAGGTTTTCATACCATTTGACCAACCGCAAGTCGGGAGAGGGATCATTTGGGTTTCCACCGAGTCGAATCCAGCACTTTGCATCCAACTTTGCATCTGCATTGGCGCCCTGGGGTCTTTGTACGGTTGCATACTATCCAGGTATCGCCTCGACCACCTACGAAGGGCGTGATCTGGCACAGCAGGCAATCAATGCAAGGTCCAATCTCTAGAAGGGGATCCGACCTACTTTGAGTCAACGTTCCGTTGTCTGACTGCGCGTTAAAGTATATCTCCACCATTTGACACCAACCGCCTGGTCGAAGTACGCGATGGATGTCTCGAAGGTAATCCCGCCATCGATTCGAGTGGATACCGCCTGCCATCATCTGGCTATGTACGAGGTCGAAATGATTTGATGGAAAGGTGAACCTAGGCCAAGTCAGCTGAGTCGGGAGCACTTCAGGGTCCAACCTGCGGCTGGAGCTCGCCTGGAAATGTACCTGCTATTGAGGTCATCGACTTGCAGATTCAAGTTCGTCGGCGTCTGGCTTTCGTCGGGCCAGATGTGTGGGCAGATATCGATGGCTACTACCTATCGGACAAAATCAGCACTGCTAACGCAGCGGCACCCGAAGCGGCGAGGCGATCAATCCTTTCCTGTCACTCGTCATCATGATCATGATATGGATGAGGAAAAGAGAATTGTAGTCCTCTTAACCAGAAAGCATGGAGTTTTCTGCACATAGACAAGCGCAGAAGAGGGAGACAATAGCCCGTCGCGTTGGCGATGGATGCAAACGACTGGCTGATCCGGTCATCCCACGACGTCCAGCAAAACGCGCCAAAGGCATGGATACCGACTATCGCACAGTCGCGAAAGGAATGGGACTTGAGTGCGTACAGCACGTACCTCGCAGTTTGGGTGTTGTTGTGCAACGTCGATAGCCCAGTCGCCGGCTCCGAAGCCGCATTCAAGAACTCGCCGGGGCCTGGTGATCGGTGGAAAAAGGAGGCGATTTTCGAATACTATGGATAGTACAACGTGCATCATTTGCAAGCGTTCAACTTCATCCTACAACCGGGTTGGAAAAATACACTCAGCAAGACGTGGTGTGTTTAGGGGCGGCATGTCTCCTACCTCATCTATCGGCGCGAAGTATGCTCCATTGTCAACTGCGTATCGTTGGTATTCTCTACCTTGGTACGTGATGGTTTCCAGGAAGGCGTTATCCAACGGAACTGTCTGTGGATCACTGGGAGTGGTTTAGCGATCAAAGGAATCCTTCGCAAGAGGAGACGAGTTTCAGCAATACCTTGCCATGTCGACAACCACAATGGAAGAATTCTTCTTACGAACAGGTTCGACTAGACTGAGTTTCTTTCGTCCAAAGTCTGCCTTTGGAATTCGATATTGGGATGAACTAGAGCTTGTATGTGGTGGTTACGTTGCTCCAACGAGGCGATGTTCCTAGGGATCCAGGACGGGATGGAAGGCAAGGACTAGTTCTCAAGCACTGCCCACAAACGAAACCCAAAAGTCCGTCAAAGGAGCCATATCCGGATCACAGGGGTTTTCACGAAGGCGGCAGTCGTGTCTAATAGACATAAAATTAACTGCCTACTATGTCGGAGGTGGGGACATTGGTCAAGTCGAAAGGTACTCGACATTGGCCGGCCTTTGCTTTCTACACCCCACGACGTCGCTGTCGATCTTGGGTTAGTACACCACGACCTACACTGGAAAAGTTGGGAGCCTGTTCAGTACCCTTTGGTACGCGGTGCGGTGCGGACGAGGCAGTCTTCGGGTGACATGGATATGTCCTCTGCTGTTATTGCTGGCCCCGAACCCCCCTGTACACACGAAAATTCGAGAATGGAGCCGGCAGACAACCAAGACGTGCTAATCCCAGGTCATTGAGTGGCATAGGGCGGGTGTGGCAGCGGGTCCCAACCCATCCTGGCAACTTGGACACCGCTTTTACCAGTTGCCAGATCCATGGATCCCGTTAACCGTAGCTTACCTTTCAGAGGCTGTTCCGGAAGCCAGGTAGACGGTCGTCTTTCTGAACGACCTGGTCGTTGTCTAGCGGGACGCACCATCACAGACCAACATCCCACAAGGCTGCGAAAGGGTCGAATTGGCTTCTGGATTTACCCAGGACGATGAGTTTTTTGAGCTTCTTTGAACGGCTCACCGCCGCCACCCCGGAGTCGGGCGAAGACACCAATGCTTGCTGCTACAATCAGAGCACCCACACCCACGACGAAGCCTAGTGGTGGATGTTGTCTTGAGACCAACTGCATGGCCCGAGTCCTGGGCCCAACACACGAATTCCTGTTGTAACCCTCCAGCCAGTGCCCAGGCTATGGGAAGCTCTTCAGCAAACACGGCTCTCCATTCCTTGTTTCCTGATCAACCCCTCCCCCCTACCTCACTATGAAAAGGAGCGTTTCTCAAAGGAGGGGTTACATAGTCGATCCGCTCCCATCGCGCGCGGAGCTTTACTCAAATTCCAGCGGCTCCCATGTCCCAAGGATCCGGTCGTTGGCTTGAACATGAAGACATGGCAGCTACAGGTGGTGGGAGGACGAGCTAGAGCAGCGTTGCACAACTCCCGATAGGATACAGAGCTGGACTAGGGATTACGCCGGCGCCACTCCTGCTGTCTCTCGCGATAACCCGCGGTTTCCACTTGCTGAGATTTCCCGAGAACGCGGACTTGGATCCATCTCGGTGTCGTTAGGCTCATTCGCGACTTGTACGGCCCGGGGACGAATAGAAGAAGGGAGACCAAGAGCACACAGTTGCAGCTCGATGGCTACCTCGTCCAAGCTAAATCATCTCGTACGACAAGAAGACGGGAAAAACTGTTATGCTGCTTTACCTGCCTGGCATTAAGCAGGCCAGGGTCACATGCAGCCAGGCAGTGACCAAAGGCGGAGTTCATGGTCTGATCCTCACACATAAAGCAGACAATCATCTGCACTGATGCCAGCAAAGTGAGACCCGCGCCATGCCCGTATCTCACGACAACGGCCAGAGAGGGGACACGGGCGCCTCAGACAGAAACATCGATCTTTACTTTGCCCAGCACGCATGCCTGCTTCTTGCGACCTCAGGCCTCCACCACACCACCTCCCCAAGACCATGATGGTAATAATTCGGTCGGATGGCGGTACAATATGCACGGAACAGGCAACGGTCTGCAAAATATAGGTAGGGGCATGGCTTTTTGCTGGTGGGTTGTGTTACTGCGCGTCTTGACACATTGGCGTATTCGGGTACGTGCTGATGAAGGTTTAATCATCACACACCCTCTCTCGGTTCCTTTCCTTTCATATCTCATCCCTTCTGACCCTGAACTAATTGTTTGGCAGGCGTGTTGCACTTTTGGCAGCAGAGCTCACGGAGCTTAGGCTAACAATGTTTCCTGGGCGGGGGTGATTTTGATGAAGGTTGGAAGAAGAAATTGCCTGGGCCAATTCAACGAACGAACCCCTCGGCGGGCCGCTCTGCAGGTTTGAAACTAACAGAGAGGAGAGCCTGGCCTGGCTGACCAGGTAGCTGCTGGCTCGGACAGTGGAGTTTCGGGAGAGGGCGCGATGACGCGAGCCACAAAACTCTCCTGGTTCCAGCTATTTGGGAACCGAGGAGCGAGGGTCGACAACCCTTCCTTGTCGGGGGAGACCACATCCTGGTGCTTGGGAGCACAATGCCTGTCCACAGCGGCCACGTACTCGCTGCACTCTGCAACCCTTGCACCAACGGGTTCAGATGCATTGCATGGCGGACGGGTAAAAAGCAAAGGGAGAGACTCTTTGAGACGACGACATACTGTGGTTGTGCTGGGCGCTAGGCAACTCACCACGGCCCTAATCGTTCATTTTGTTGACGTCAAAACGAATGGTAAGACAGAAGTGTCCGGCCTCGATACAGACATGCCCGAGCTACGTGACCATGTCACAGCTGTGCGAGAGGCTGTGGGCAAGTATAGGGACGATGGAGTTGCCGAGCATGTTGCGCGGATGGCCCGGAGGCGACCCCGAGAACGGCAGACGATGTCATTACAACAAGCAAGACCGGTTATAAGGCGGCTCCCAATACATAGTAACGGCCGGGATGCCGCGCGACAAGCAATTGGCAAATTGACGCTTATGGCTTGCTAGGTAGCCAAAGATCTACCTAGCAAGTGGCCACGGTGTTCTATTCAGAGCAGGGCTGCGATCCATAACTCGGCAACTCGAACGAAATGGGTTTCCTGCGCATGCTTTTACCGAGCAGCTACCCAGAAAGAGGTAGCTGTTGTTCTTCGACTGACGCAAGACACTCCTCTGCATCGTGGATTCAGGCAAGAAATTAGCCTGTCAGAGACGATGCACGTCAGAGGGGAGCATTTGACCCATCGCTCAATACCTAGGTTGCTCCTGTGTGTAACAATCCCTCCAGCCACTCAACTTGGACGATTCTGATGAAAAACAAACAGGTGTCTGGAGAGGAAATCGAGAGCAGCGTGACTTGGCGGCCGTTGACCGCGACCTCTCGCCTGCACAGTTGCGGACCATGCATCTGCATATCCATACATACATAATATTCCACAACTCTCTTTACCCGACATGATAGAAATTTGGCTTGTGGCCTGCTTCTCTTTCCTTCGTCCAACGGCTTTTCTTCTCCCCATGCAGAGAGGGGGGAGATGAGTTGGCTGTCGATGAGGAGTCACATTCATTCCCGCGAGCAGGGAACCCTAGTCGACAAGCACCCTGCTCGTTCCTCCGTCTTCATTTTCCTCTCGAACAGAACCGTACTCTCGGGTTCCAATAGGACGGGATGCTGGGGCATATCGTCCCCCTTATCGATGCCAACCGGCCCCCTACGACCCCTGTCTTGCTGACGGGACCGCAGCTTACGGACTAATACCATGACACTGCGATACAAAGATACCCAGCTGAGCTCCCCCTATTGTTGAATCCTGGATGACGAGCGGCGTTGCCTGCCATCTACGATCCAATCGTCTGGCAATGGCCCCCGGTTCTACGGAGAGCATATCCAAGGACCAGGTTTCTGTCGTTTCACCAGGACGGGGGAACAATGCTTCTAGAAGACCATGGTGTTGCGAGCTGACTTTCTGAAAAGGCATGGAGCGCGGTGCCGGTCCTGCGAGCCGGCGAGTCTTACCTCCCGACCTCTCTTTTCTGGGTAGTCGTAGGAAGGAAATGAAAGGTGCGGCTGCGGCTGCGGCTGCGACTGCGGCTTTACTGCGGCCATGGGCACATGAATCGACTTTTCCTCTTTCATCTCTTCTGCCATCTACCGACGATGCGGAATTTGGACGTAATACCGACGCCCACCCCTCCTATAATATTATTCTTGCGTGCACAGATCACGGGCTGGGCGGTACCCTGGCACACTCACACACATTCACACGCACGCACACACATACCTACCGTGTATTGTGTACAGTCCTCCAGGCCAGCAATGACGAAGGGAAGCGGCCGCACCGCTACCGCCCTCTTCGTTCTCCGTGAAACGCGACTTGGGATCACAACTGATGACCGATGGATGACAATCTCGAGAGGATTCGAATACCTACCTTTGGCAAGCTTCAAAGAGCATTGACAGCAAAAGACAACCGGCGCAACTCGTCGAGAACGGACCGTCATCGTCCCAACGGTCTGACTAGGCCTCCTGTTGTGTGACTTGAGCAGTCACTTTCTATTCTGGTGGCACAATGCATTATCTCTTTTCGTCCTCGTCCTGCAAAATGTGTCATTACAAGGTGTCTCGCGGCCTTTGGCCGTGCTGTGAACACCTGGGCTTTCTATGGGTAAGTCTTTTCTGTATTTTTGCTTCTTTCTCCCTTCTTTCTTTGGTACTCCGTACCATGTTTGGAATTACGAGAACACGCCGGTTGGTGCATAAGCCCCCTCACCCATCCCCTGAACCGGATGGGCGCGCGAAAAGGTATAGATATGTAGGTCCAAGGTGACAAGGCCAAGTTGGAAATCCTTGCCTGATTCAACCCAGGAAAAAAGGGA